AAGCAATGAGCATGAAACTGAGCAAACTCCGGGAGGCAATGAAGGACAGGAAGGCCTGGCGCGATGTGGCTCATGGGGTCATGAAGAGTCGGACACGACTTAATGACTGGACAACAACAACATCATGGGAACTTGGTTAACTATGGCCTATTTAGCAGTCCTTAGACCACAACTTAGTGCTATCAGGAAATGCAACCTTGGAATTGGTTTGATAAATTACTGTTTTTTTCCAAAATCATCTGCGAGAATACAGGAAAACCTTAGAAAATTCTTCAGGCAGAAATAAAGTCATATCCTTGATCAGGAGAAAGTCATACCAGTCAATTTAAAAAAATCAGAACCAGGCAGGTACACATATTATTGCTTGGATTTTTGGTCTGATTCTTGGAAGAGTGGAAAACTGCTCTTAGCTGGCATTGCGTTTTTTGCCTCTCCTTTTTCCGGCTTCTCACCATTTTGACTTTATCATTTTGGTCTCCTCCCCCTGTGCAAAATCCAAACAAAACAAACTGCATTGGTTGCCCGTGTTACATATTATTATTAAGTTGGTTTTAGTGTAGCATTATGCTTTATTGGTTTTAATCCCCTGTGTACTGCCCAGAGCGATAAATATAAATCGTTTAAACAAATAAATTCACACTGCCCACTCCACCACGGGAGTTGAAGACTGAGGAGCTGCATGGATACAAGCTAAGCTTGGTTTGGTCTGATTTTTAGTGTTAGTTTTAGTCCCAGAGTCACAAATTGTGAAAGGGGTGGCTTTACAAATCTTTAAAATAAATAACATAAATCTCAGTTTTTCTTGAGGTTTTGTCCTTTTGTCATCCCGGGAATGCTGTGCCTGGCGTGCTATTGCCCAGTGAATCACACACCAAGGGTGGAGGTAAGAACAACTTTAATCTGCGCTGAATGGGGTACCTGGGGATTTTTCCTCAAAGCAGGCACACCCCCGATCAAATCCCAAGAGCTTTTATACCCATGGTCTCCAGCTAGCATGATGTGGTCTTAGAGGTTAGCCAAACAAGCAGATGGCTCCCTAACAAGCATTTCTCAGATCCAAGATATATATCACACAGGCAGGAAAAAATAAGTGTTTTATTTTTCATGCCTGCTTGTTTCCACCCCGTGTTTTCTGTACTCAGATGCCATGAGCAACATGATAGCTTTATGACTCTAATTCAGGGTTTCTCAACCTTAGCCACTTTAAGATGTGTGGACTTCAGCTCCCAGAATTCCCTTTTTTGGGGATTTTGGGGGTGGAGGGCCCAAAATTTTAAAAGGGTCAAGGTTGAGGAACCCCGA